GAGACCGAGTAATCGTCTTGTTAGGTATTCTTATCTTAGTATTTGCACAAGCATTCAGCTGAAACTGCAAATACGTACGCATCGCGAACAAGTTATTCAGTGGTACTCCTTAAAGCAAATAATAGAAAATATTTCTGTGCAGCTCTCTGGGGTTTGTTATCGTGAACGCGCGTCTGGCGGGCCCAAGCACACGCGTTTGCTAGTGCTTCAAGGCTAAGTGATTGCTTAGCGGACCTGAGTACCCTATCAAGGCTCTGGCATTACGCATACATAATCTCAGCAGTAGGGTTTCTGGGCGAACTGCCACGGCATTGGACTGCTAGTTAACTATCAGCGCAATAACATGCAAATTACAGAGGTACCTTCCAAAAGTTCTTGCTTACAGGGGTCATCTGTACTATTACTACCGAAACACTACCGAAGCTTGATCGGATCTGTCCCACCGCCCGAGGGGCTTGATCTCACTACACTTGGATCTCTCACTCTAATCGGCTCATCAAGCCCCCTGGACCAGCGTCTTGCTACGCCCGTCTGATCTAGATATCTAACACGCAACGCGACACGACGCGATAGAATATACTCGTACTAACGTGGTTTATAGTCGAGTGGCTCCCCCAATCAAGTGGCTCACCTAAGCCAGCGCGTTAACGTCAAGGATCAGCTAGTGGATCACCCTAATATGCATCGGTGTCTGAGCTTAGAGAAGTTGTAGGCTACTTGCCTAGGGTATGGGGTGTTGTGGTAAAATCTTCGACAGTTTCAGCAAGTCAGTCGTGCTGGCCATCCATGAACAGGTCAATCTCTTCACGCTTTAGTGACCTCTCTTGCCAACTAACGCAAGGCAAGTAACTCCAGATTTTCGTGTTGTCAGCGATAAAACGTTTGAGGATTTGCTCAATCGCTTGTCGATCTCAGCCTTTCGTCACCTAGCTTTGACTAAATAGAGAGAAAAAACCACCGAAATCTCACCCATTTAGCGTGCCCGACTGACCTCGAGCTCAACGAGCGACGACTTTTGAAACGTAGTTGATACAGTACAAGTGAGTTCTTGGAGCCGTGGCAATTTGGGTTGTCGCACTCCATTGCATAAAATGCTGCCGTGAAAGGCTGAGATTAAGTACTCCATTAGGCACCAGAATCACTCCATGTTTCGTCATCAGCGAGAACAACAACTTTCATCTTGGGTAATAAGGAATTGGGCATTTCCAAATAGGCATCCAAAGTACAATCCTCAGCCCGGGTATGAGGTTCTTGAGGCAGATTGCAATTATTGTAGAACAGAAAAGCATATGAGTCAGCCAACTGCTTCCCCTGGGTCTGGGTGGCCCCTTGTAATCCAACAGTGAGAATGAAGTAAATTTGCTCTTCCAGGTCGCTGAAGTTTCCGTTCTGGAGTTCGTACCTTTCTGGTAAGAGATCCTGGTAGCGATTCCACGTTTTCCACATTCGAATAGAGCTGAGCCGGACAAATTTGTAGCCATCAGTGGGCCAACCGTTGGTGGCGATTTCTTGACAAAGGTCAAGCAAGGACTCAAAATCCCAACAAGGTATGATAAGATTAATATTGGGGAAGATTGGACAGTAAGAAAAGTGGAGAAGTAGGCATGTATGTATGATGTAGAACAACCAAGTAGGTAATCAACAGACAAGACGAGACCACCGTCTGGCGCAAGAGTTGTACGAGAGTTAGAATAGAGCTGAGATCAAGAGGATTAAAAGGGTCAAATAAAGTGATAACGATGACCACGTATTTGTAATTGATAACCGAGAGATGTTAAATCTGTTTTTTTGTATGCAGCTCTTTATTTTTGCCTGTTTTGCATGAACCATGTGGGCGAGGTCCTCACATTTTTCTGTGCGTGCATGTCGCAAAAAAAAGAGCTATTGTTTTTGAAAATATGGAATGTCGCCAACTCTTATAATTTTGCGTGGGCACTTAACAATTCCTTGACTTTTTACATCTGCTTGCCGTGTGGCCTATCAGATCAACTATCGCAGAAAAGAACAGCAAACCACACCCCAACCTGCCGGAATCAGGTGTCAAAAACTAACTTTGCGGTCAAAGTAAAAATATTTGGGCGTGGGCTTCTGCGGGAACCAAGCATTTAATCACAACTGCTACAAAATCTTTTTCCAATATGGCAGGCACTCAGAGCGAACCAAGGAAAAGAAGGCTTCTCCGCAGCGGGCCGATGAAAATCCGTGGTCATGGTCTGTGCGTCAAGTAGCTTGGCCTCCGCGAAAATCCACGCGAAAAAGTTCGAGATCAGTGCTTTGCCAATTGCAACACCACCACTCACCACAATAATCGCCATGGCTCTCGTGCAGACCGATCCCGACGCGTATGTGATCAAGCCCGAGGCGGCTGCGCCTGCAATCGATACTAGCGACTGGCCGTTGCTACTCAAGAACTACAGCGACTGTATGCTGCAGCTCCCCATATAGCTACGGTTTACTCTGCTAATGCACATATAGTGCTCGTTCGCACTTCTCATTACACTCCTATCCCCAATGGATGTGCGCCGTTGTCGCGAGACCTCAAGTCGTACATTAGCTCTGGTGTCATCAACCTAGACAAGCCTTCCAACCCATCCTCGCACGAAGTCGTGTCATGGATCAAGCGCATGCTCAGGTAGGAAAATACCATAATAGCTGTCGCATGCAATTTTAGCTGACACTGTCCAAAGGGTGGAGAAGACTGGTCACAGTGGTACCCTTGACCCCAAGGTCACTGGCTGTCTCATTGTCTGCATCGACCGCGCCACCCGTCTCGTCAAGTCCCAGCAAGGAGCTGGAAAAGAGTATGTGTGCGTCATCCGCCTGCACGACAAGCTGCCTGGTGGCGAGGCGCAGTTTGCGCGCGCTCTCGAGACCCTCACTGGAGCTCTTTTCCAGCGACCTCCGCTCATTTCTGCTGTCAAGCGTCAACTCCGTATTCGAACCATCCACGAGAGCAAGCTGTACGAGTTTGACAATGAGAGGCAGCTCGGTGTATTCTGGGTGAGCTGTGAGGCCGGAACCTACATCCGTACTCTCTGTGTGCACCTGGGTCTTTTGCTCGGTGTCGGCGCCCACATGCAGGAGCTGCGCCGTGTGAGGAGTGGAGCCATGGACGAAACCAAGGACCTTGTCACTCTACACGACGTTCTTGACGCCCAATGGCTGTACGACAACAACCGCGACGAGGCCTACCTGCGCAAGGTCATCTCACCTCTCGAGAGTCTCTTGATGAGCTACAAGCGTGTTGTTGTTAAGGACAGCTCGGTTAACGCCATCTGCTATGGTGCTAAGCTCATGTTGCCCGGCCTGTTGCGATTCGAGAAGGGTATCGAGATTCACGAGGAGATTGTCCTCATGACCACCAAGGGTGAGGCCATTGCGCTCGCCTATGCGCAAATGTCGGCTGTCGAGATGTCTACTTGCGATCATGGTGTTGTTGCTAAGATTAAGCGTGTCATCATGGAGCGCGACCTCTACCCCAGGAGATGGGGCATGGGTCCAGTAGCCACTGAGAAAAAGAAGATGAAGGAGGCCGGCACCCTTGACGTAAGAACCCAATTTCTTGACTTGGAAACCTCTATGCTAACAAATGCAGAAATTCGGTCGTCCCAATGACAAGACCCCCGCCAAGTGGAACACTGAGTACAAGGACTTCAACAGGACTGATGTCGATGGCGCATCCGCACCTTTGGCTCAGACCACATCGACTTCTGACGTTCTTGCTGCTCCCCCGGTTGCACCGACTGGAGAGACTGAGGCCGAGGCCGAGGTCAACGGTGCTTCTGATGGAGAGGAGAAGAAGAGCAAGAAGAGAAAGAGCCGAGGCGATGCCGAAGAGGAGGCTGATGAGGACAAAGCTGAACGCAAGCGCAAGAAGAAGGAAGAGAAGGCTGCAAAGAAGGCTGCGAAGAAGGAAAAAAGGAAGAGCAAGGGCGGCGATGACAGCGACTCTGACTAAACGATTAATACGTAACCCATGGACGTCCGAATAGCAACGAGCGCTTTACTGCGGTTGTTTGTGCAAGCGCTGTACACGAAAATCGTATACTTGTCATAGCTACTGATACTACTACTCTATCCTTGGATACCAGCTTCCTCACTGTAGCATACGGAAAAAGGCGTTTGGGAATTTAGGCATTTAGGCGTTTGGCGCGTCGAAGCTTCTGCGACAGGGGTGGTCGACTATGTGTTCAAGTGTGAACGTTCACTGCTAGATATGTTCAATCCATTGTTTCAATTTATCATGCGCACTTTTACTGGGCTTGATCTGTGATGCTTGCGTGACTGCGCCACACCATGCACGTTGAATGTCTAACCTAATCATCGCTGTGAGGATACAGAGTGCTCGATTACGAATTGCATGCAGCATTCGCTGGTCATTCTCGAATCTCGATTAAAGTGCAGGATGCATATATCGGTAAACATTGGTTAGCTTAGTGGAATTCTATACGAATACAGCTATTGCATTCTTGAGCAATTCTCATGTACGTATATTTGTCGGATGCTCTGTTTCGACCCACTTTATATGGTTATATATATGTACCAAACCCAGTCACCAAAATTTCGAGCGAATCTGCCAGTCAAGTCCGCATGCAGGGGAGATCACAGGGATCATGTTGCAATCCTACCCATGGAGTTGGGCAGGAGCTTGGGGAAAGACCAGACGTGTCTATCTAATAAAAAGCAGTGTTCATGACGCCTCCATCTCTTTTTTACTTTTTCAATGTGCAGAGTGTTTCTTGCTGGGAAACGACAAGCAGTACTGGAATGACTGTTTTCCTTTGGATTCCACCGGCGTAGGACTCCTGATGGTGGGGCATTGGGCAAACTACACTATAAGCAGCGTGCGTGTCGTAATCCTTGAATAAACGTCATGTACATCACATGCATCATGATGCATCGTGATTCTTCAGTTTGGGATGTGCTGGTATATTACTAGTTGAGGTAAAAGCGTGGTGCGGTATGTGTAGAGGTCGACTTGGAAGGGACCGCGGTCGCGCGTTACAGGAGGTGTGGTAATTCACTGCCCAAGATATCGGCAATTATGCACGATCCGAATTATTGAGACTGCAATAAGAAATTCAAAGCACATGGTTTCTGACAATGGTGATTGTGATCGGGGTTTGGGTGAGATATGGCAGCGTGATTGAAGCTTCTCGAAGCTTCTCTTTGAGGTTCCGAGTTGCGCGACAGGGCCCGACGTCACCGCTAGCGTCGATTGCCAGGTGGAGAGACGTTCGAAGCTCTTGAGCGATAAAAGCGACGACAACCTCGTCACCACAAAGTACTCCCTACCAAGAAAATAGTCGCGCACACAAAAGATTCCTTCTTCATTACTTATTGCCGGTCAATATGGTCAAGGAGACAAAACTCTACGAAGCACTAGGTACGTTTGCTTGAGCTGCCCCTCCACAGTCATACCTTGCTCCGCAGTCAACTGGGCAGGCTGATCGAGGGCCGCGGGTAGACACGTGAGCTTTTGCTAACATCTTAATACAGGCATATCGGAATCAGCGACGCAAGACGAGATCAAGAAAGCATATCGGAAAGCGGCGCTGAAATGGCATCCCGACAAGAACAAGGACAACCCGCAAGCCTCGGAGAAGTTTAAAGGTACGTCACTCACTCACCCCACCCTATAAAGCAGTGCTAACAACACTTCCAGAATGCTCACAGGCTTACGAAATCCTCTCCGACCCCGAGAAACGTAAGACGTACGATCAATATGGCCTAGAGTTCCTACTACGCGGCGGCGTACCACCAGAGGATACCGGGGGCCCTGGAGGCAATCCATTTGCAGGCGCAGGAGGAGGCCCCGGAGGATTCCCATTCACATCATCTGGTGGCATGCCCGGCGGCACACGAACATTCCATTTCTCGACAGGCGGCGGCGGAAACGGCTTCAACTTCTCAAATGCCGACGATATCTTTGGCGAGTTCATGCGCAATAGCGCCGGCGGCGGTGGCGGTGGCGGTGGCGGCGATGACTTCGATTTTGGCGGCTTTGGCATGGGCGGAATGCCTGGCGGAATGGGTGGAATGCCTGGTATGGGTGGTATGGGTGGTATGGGCGGTATGGGCGGAGGCGCCGGTGGAAAAGGTGGTAGATTCCGAGGCGGCCGACGAGCACCAGAACCCGAAGTCACAGTAGTTGAGAAGCCACTGGCAGTCAGTTTGGAAGAGCTTTACAACGGTACCACCAAGAAGCTCAAGATCAAGCGCAAAACATATGACCAAAGCACGGGCAAGCAAAGCACTCAAGATCGGATCCTCGAAGTACCAATCAAGAAGGGCTTGAAGCCGGGAAGCAAGATCAAGTTCTCAGACGTTGGCGACCAAGTCGAGGGTGGAACACAGGATTTGCATTTCATTGTTTCTGAGGTAAGCCCCATTCGAATCTCCCGTTATCCATTTTGAGACATGCGCTAACAACTGGATTAGAAACCCCACGCAATGTTTACACGCGAAGGTGATGATATTAAGCATATCATTGAACTCGATCTCAAAGAAGCCCTCACGGGCTGGCGCCGGACTGTACAAACCATCGACGGTAAACAACTCAGTGTCGGCAGCGGCGGTCCCACCGGCCCCAACTGGACAGAAAGATACCCTAACTTGGGTATGCCCAAATCCAAGAAGCCAGCAGAGCGCGGAGACTTCATTGTTGGTGTCAAGATCAAGTTCCCCACGAGCTTGACAAGTGCACAGAAGGAGAAGTTGAAGGAAATCCTTTAGGTCAGCCGTTCATGTCGGCATTCTGATTCTCGTACATCTTTTTCCTTTTCTTAATTTTGCTTTGGGATTATACAGCTCAAATTGAGCGAGGGGCGCTGGGTGGAGTTTTCATTATCTTTTATACGTCCTGGAGGGAAAGCGCCCAGAGAAAATGCATAACTGGTGCAGAAATTGGGAGGATAAATTACGAAGTCACGCGTCTATGATAGACGAATCTATGAATTGCATTATGATACGCATCTTTTCTTCTGCTTGAATCTCTGAATAGTCAGTAGCAGGATGTGTACATTATTTTCCAACAGTGTGAGTGTTCTCGTATATTTGATTTTACTATATAAACACAAACAATACAGTGTTGCTTTTGCAGCTACGTGACATTGTTCATCAAAACGTGCCAGCGAGGGTTATGCCCGAATACGTGACGTCATATTTAGCCAAGGCTTTCCCAACCAGCCACCCCAGACTTGTTATCCAATCTTAAATTGAAACTCCCTATTGGGAAAATGCCTGGCGAAGACGTAGTGATAGTATGAAATTGCATCAATTACGGGATCTTGAAAGAGTCACTGACGTTTGAGATGCAACGAAACATGTCCAAGCGCGTGTTTACAGTGGGCTTGACATCCACCTGGCAACGACTGGAAGGTTTTGTTTGCACGAAGCGATAATGTAAACATTGGATTCTGGGTCTCCACTGGTGTCTCTGAGCCCTCGCTTAGTTACAGATTATCCCTTCATTAAATGACACCAACCGACGTTCACTGACTGCAGTTTCGCGACGTGATGGCAGCCTGGCAAACAGCTTACGGCTCCAGAAAGAAAAATCCTTGATCATCGTGATCTCCTCCCAAGGCGCTTTGATGATGAGGGTGACTGTGAGAGCAGTTCACGGAGTACTCACCTGCGGGGTTTTTAAATTGCTGCCTACGATATAACATGTGTTGTTGTTGTTGTTGTCTTCGGAGACTGCTCGGTATACGCCGTTTGCGCGGAAGTATAGTGGGAGTGAGGCACTAAGAGAAATTTCATTTGAGCTTTGCGAAATGCGTAACTAGTCCGTTTTCTTTGGTGAAGACTGGGATATCGTGTTGGTGTTGGTGACAAGAGATGAGCTAGTGTGGAGGGCAGGCGCGTCCTGCTTTTGTTTACAACACTGACTACTGGAAAAATCTCAGTGCTGGTATAATCAGCTATCCTGGTTTGATGCTCACTCAGTCACTCGCTTTTCACGCATTGTATTTTCACCATTCTGGCCCGTCAGGCAGAAGGCCCGGACGTTCCGCATTGTGAACTGATTACCACGTGGGTTGGTAGATGTGATGTATTCACACTCACAACGCAGGGGCAATTCTCACCCTCACCCGAGCTCATTTACACATGCTGCCTTATGTGGCTAGGTTGCAATGGACTCATGGGATCCTCTGGGATTTACAACATAGTTGTGAACAGATAATCTGACAAAATATCAACATTACTTCTTCTTATTCTTGCAAACCAACCATTCAACCGAGAATGAGTTCTTCACACCTTCACCAGACAGAGTAATTTGCTACCTGATACTATTCTCAAGTACATGCTAAAGTTTTCTAGGTTAGACGAGGCTGTCCTCAGCCAACTTCTCTCACAACTATGCGAGGACAAAACGATCTCTGAACACCTAATAACCACCGTTGCCTCACATACCTCATCACTGAGTGAGAAGATATCAAATGATTACCGTGACCTGAACCGGATACTGGTTCGACACGAAGGCGTCATACGGCAAAGGTGGCTCGGAAAAACTGTAGCCGAGCGAAGAGACCTTTTGATCCAGGCATGGCCGAACATGCCGGAGAAGCATCGCCCAGACTGCACAGAAACCAACGTTTGGCCCGACTACGCCAAGCTATCCGATGACCTTAAGAAATCCCGGGGTACTCATAACAAAAGGGGGCTACCTTCAGCACACAAGATATGGCCCTTCATCAACCTCGAAGATCTCACAAAACCCATTTCATTACTTGTATACCTCAACGCACGTGGTCGGAATGTTCCATTCACATTTACTCTTCTGGAAGACACCTTCAGTCCGTTGGCAGCAATGTCACTGAGTCAATGCGACCCCGGAACTCCACAATACGCGTTACGGGTCTCAAATGAAGCATCGCCTACGCTTCGCGTCGGGATACATCTTGTCGACAACACTCAAGGGCCTCTCATACGGACTGAAAGCGAGATTCATGTATGCCCCCGAAACGGCTTGTATAAATTATACATTCAGCAAAAGATCACAGCATTCCTGGTCGCGTGTACCAAGCTGATATTGCATGACATGGACCAAGATACGCTTTACTGTAGCGCTATACAGGAGGAGCCACCGTCGTCTGAACTTGAGCTGCCAAGCGACTTGGGATCCACAAGCTTTGCTGATATCTATGTGGTCGCCCCATATCGCAACCGCGGGTGCATTGACTTTCTCAAATTACGCGAGTATTTTGAGGAGTTATACATCAATGCGAAAGATCACATATCAGCACTGCGCGAGGATCCCTCGTACTTTGCCGATCAGTTCAAGGACGCTTGCGAACATAGCTCCGGAATGATACCAGACCGTTCTGGGAAGATCGACTCACAAGTGGAAAAGAAGAGTTTCCTAATATGGACTGCTGCCAGGATGATCACTGACGGTTACATCATGCTTTTCCTCTGGAGAGAGCTTTATCAGCTTGTTGACCGATTATCCAAGACGCCTTCGCAAAGTCAGAGCGGTTATTTTGCTTCCTTAATGGGCGAGCTTAGCTGCGGACTGGACCAGGTTACTGAACGCGTCTACGATATGCTTCGCTATGCAACAACATCGCCTCAAGTTCGAGAATTTTACGTTCGGGAAGGGAACGCCATCACAATGCAACCACATAAAGTGAAATCGCTTGACAAGGTTCAGCTACTTGCGTCCCTAGACTCAATTCACATGAGAGAAGGCAGCAATGGCGTCGAGGGCGTGGCGCTATACCTTCTCTTGGATGGTGTAACAACCATTATGCGGGAGAAAAGCCCGACAAGAGACTTGGTATCGCCTCGGGTCTCTGAGCTGCTATCACAAATGTCGGTCTTGCGAGAGTGCGCAATGCAAATGTGGGTGTGGCGTGGTACCCCCCAAGGATTCAGCTTTCACCAATGTCATGCGCATTCCCATGACCAATTGAAAGACTTCTATGACTGGCTAAATCAGCTGGATCATGATAATTTGCCAGTACATCTAGTCAACCCATATACAAAAAAGTTGAACTATCCTTCTAACAAAGCCTACAACCGGAGTAACGTCAAGACCATGCGCACAGCCGAAAAGAATTTGGATAAATTCTGGGATCACATCGACAACGAGTACCAGAAAAAGACAGGCGTTGGCCAGCACGAAGCAGTTTACCAATGCCTCGCCGAACACGGCGCGATGCAACGCACACCGCCGTGGGAAGATACTACAAAAGTAAAGTCAATCAAACCAGAGCCAGTGGAAACTGCATACCAGCCATTTTCAGGGAGTTCTCACGACAAGGACTTGCAAATTACCGGTGCCTTCGACAGGCTGGCAATTGGGGAAAAAACGAAGACGAAAACAAAAGGCACGCCGGACGCCGCAATGGCAAATCTTCCTCCAGTCCCTCCAGTCCCAGCCGTTGAAGAGGAAACCCCTCGAAAAGTCTTCACCCTGGACCACCGCGAACTGGGCACGATGAGAACGCTATTTCATGTTGACCACACGAACCACAGTGTTCCAAAGGTGGTCAAATGGAATGAGTTCAAGCGTGCAATGGTGCAGGTGGGATTTGCGGTTGAGAAACTCAATGGCTCGATATGGCAATTTACTCCTGGTGATACACTTCAGGCCCGGCGTCCTATTTTATTTCATGAACCGCACCCGGTCAGCGATATCCCTTACTTGATGGCAAGGCGGTTTGGAAGAAGACTGGCGAGGGTGTATGGTTGGGATGCTGATAGTTTTCAGGAGGCTTGAGTGGGAAGAGTTGGATAGGTTTGGCAAGATCTTGAGGCAGTATATGATTGGATTTCTAGGAGTTTGGGGCATTTTGGGAATTGGAACAGGATTTGGGTAATGATGAACGAACGTTATGAAAGAAGATTTTGTGGTGTGGATCGAAGAAGCACCACCTCATTTTTGGATAGAAAAGTTGGGGGGGTTTGACTTGAGTAAGTCGCGCAGTCCCGGGCTCCGTTGATTTGCTCCGTCACGTACTTGACGATAAGTTGTTACACGAAATATCAATTTACTTCATTAAACTTGCTTCCATTTGCACCAAGTCAACCCAACCTCCCAGGATACATCAAATCTATGGAAGCAACACTACTCGCATCACTCTCCAAAAAACACCTACTGGGAGCATTCAGCGCAATCGGCGATACCTTCGCCGTAGCCCCCCTCGACAACCGCCACTCAGGCGGAACATTATGCTGCAAAACCTCGACCTCAGACACCACCCCGACCTTCTTCTCCTTCTGCGCCTCCACATCCGTCTGAATCCCCAACTCGGGTGTCGCATCCCGCGAGCTCCTCTGAATAATCCTCACAATCTGGCTCAACACCCCAAACTCAATCTTCAGCTTAAAACTATACAACAGCGACTTGAACGTCGTTTGTATCATGTACAAGTTTAGGAATTCCATGGTCAGCAGCGTGGCGTCGAGGAAGACTAGGAGAAGATTCATAGCAACGAGCTGCCACATCCACTTGCGTGTCTTGCCGTCGAAAATGACGAGCATGAGCTTCCGCGTTTCACACAGGTAGACGCATGAGATGAAGATTTCTTGTAAGGTGAAAAGAACCATTTGGATCTTCTCCATGATGCTGTAGCCGCGCGTGTAGACGGTGGGGCTCTTGGTGGTGTATTGGCGCAGGTTGAGAGTTACGGTGGGGACGCAGAGGCAGATGGCGGAGAGGATTATGGTCCAAAAGATAATCCGCAGGAGGTTCGAGTTGGGCGAGATGAGATGTAACCGTGAGTAGAGGACCATGGATTGGCCGGGGACCATGAGGATCCAGCCGACGGTGAGGAGGACGTTGTAGAGGTCGGCGTTGTGGCCGACATTGTTTTGTTTCATCCATGCGCCTGGGATTGAGGAAGAAATGTTATGTTAGTCTACTTTTCGCTTTTGGAAATAATTTAGATCGAAGTGGCTTACCTGTTGCATAAGGCACGATACTAAGTGCGTTGATGATTAGACTCCAAAAGTACAGTCCAGAGTATTTTTTGAAGATACAGAAAATGAGGACGAGAAGTTCGAGCGAGTTGTACCATGCGATTGCCGTAAAGGCAGTCATTGCCCGTGGGAGCACTCGGTTAGCACCATAAATGTCGAAATTGGCTCCCGTGATGCCATTGCCGGGCGTTGTGACATTCGCCATTCTCGCTATTGTCATGGATGGCCGCGAGAAATGAGATGTGTAAAATGTCGTGTTACCATAGTGCATACCATATTTACATACTATATGTCCAACATGAGTTGGATAGGGTATCAAGCCATGAGCAAGGTAATCGTGTGTCAGCAACGAGTTTCGTTAATAATTGGATAGCTTGGGGGCCATGGGGCTTGATTGGCGGGCAGGTGACTAGTTTCCTGCAGCAAGGTAAGAAGCGAGTGTAAATCGGACTACGCGAATAGATCGCAACACTATACTTAGAAGCTTGACAAGCTATTCTCCGATAGAAAGATGCGATAAGCTTTTGCCAAGTCGCATTAGGACGACTGGTAAACAAGCGTGCGGTACGGATATGCAGGTCTTCAAAGAATGCGTCATGTACTCTGAGTTCAGCCGCCTTACTAGGAATAGCCCGAGACATAGAACTAGTTGTGGATATTTCCGTAAACAGTTAATGGATGTCAGTATGCACACAATGTTCGGAAATTGCCGTATTACAAAAATTCATTCATAAGGCTGCTATGCGATCAAGATATCAATCTATGCTAAAAGACCAAAAATAGCCGCATACGTAGTTTTAGGACAGATTCCCCGTGCATACATCGGGAAATCGAACGCTATAATGATAAAACGCCTCGCATGCTATGCCAGTGCATTGTCCAAACTGAACAAAGTCATTCGGAATTACAGATTTAGTTCTCTGCGTGACCTGTGGGGCCTTGGTCCGTGTCTGTAAGACATTGTTAGCATTAGCAACATGCACCGAGGAAGACGCTTATCTACGTAAGTACTTACAATCCATTGTAACAAAGGCACGATCTACCTCCTTCAACCCCTCAAGACAATATTGCAGGGTTTCTGCAATGTCATGACATGTCCTTAACGGAGTGTTCTCTTTCATGAGCACATCAATCTCTACACAAACGCCGTCACCAGCGTGGTAGACCTTGATGCTCTTAAACCCTTGAACAAGTGGTGCAAAGCGGTACGCCATGAACATCATCTTACGCTCTGTGCGAGTATCGGCAGCTTCTCCAGTAAGACGAGCAACATTTTCAAGACAGGTGCATGCCCAGTCGTAGATAATGTAGAGTGAAAGGCAGGCAGCACCCACAGGATCGAGCCACCAGACATTGACCTGGGCACCAATGAGGGGAAACAGAAGGGACAAGGTATTAAAGTAAACATCTGTTCGGGTTAGCCCTGGGATATCTGCAATATGGGTGAGTGAAGCTACCTGTTTTGCAATCTTGTGCAAGGGCCTGCACTTGTGTTGTCTTGACCCTGGCGCATCCAATCCAAATTGTTCCCTTGACAACAATGGTGGATACCATTGAGAAGATGGCTGCAGGTGGGAGCATAGCTACGCTGTGGTCACCGCTGGGGAGCAGCTTCTTCACTGACTCTTGAAGGATTTGGAGAAACGAAATCACCATGATGATGGAGAAGACGAGGATGCCAATGGGCTCGAAACGCTTGCGACCGATAGGGAATCTCTTCTTCAGGGCCTGCAGACGCCAGCCCACCAACCTGTTCGTAGTCCAGATGATGATTGTGCAAAGCAAGTCAAGAGCGGAGTCAACGAGAGACGCGATCAAGGATAGTGAGTTTGACCAAATGGCTGCGACGCCTTTGGCAGCGAGTAGGAGAATATTGACCAGGACATTGATCTGAGGTATTGTGAGTTTGGGGCTGGGCGACTTGCGACTTAGAACTTACGTTGATGGCCCACTTCACGTGCTTGGCTGCCTTTCGCCGTTTCTCACGCTCTTCTTCGGGTAGGAATGGCTCCAAATCTTCTCCGCTGAGACCCAAGGGCCCTCTGTCCTCAGCTACACCGTCGTGATCAGTATCCCGGGGGTTCATGCTGTCAACAATATCGTCGGCGAGTGAGGTCACGACCATGTCCACCTCAGCCCAGTCATCGATGCGTTCGTTTTGTTCTTCATAGAATTTGCGTATTTCCTTATTCTTTATGCTTTTGAGCTACAACGAGCATGTTAGCACTCGGAGTGTTCAGATGGAGCTGTCAACATACGCTTTCTTCGCTTTTCCTGTACACTTCAAGCGCATCATGGTCGATGCTATCGATCAACTTGCGCTTTAGGCCACTCGCGTGGTTGTCCCTCAACGTCTGCTCGATGGCGTCGCGAAACCGCTGCCTCGGCTTGATCTTGTTGGTAGCTCCATATCCGCTTTCCAGGTCTACACGCTGGTACTTTGTGAACTGTTCGGGATCGCCGTAACTGTTGATATTGCCCTTGGTGTTGCCGGTGCTGAGAAGTCGGTGTCTTCCTCCAACCATGACTAGATACTAATAGGGGGTTTTAGAATTTGCAAAGTAGTCCCGATTGCTGAACAACAGGAGGGGCAGAATGCAGAGGGATGCTGAGGGTGTGGTCGAGTATGGTTGAGAAAAGAAAGCAGACAAAGAGGAAGACGCGACGCGCAGTCAAATCAAGGCGGGCACACGAGGCCGGAAACTTTGGAGGGGTGGATGCATGATAGCGTGTGAGAGCGCATCATCATCAGCAGTAGCCACGCGGAAAAGGACCGTGTGCCTGCGAGAATGTACCATTCTTGGTGGAGCTTGTGCGGGCTTGCATCCAACGCGCAAGAGGAGAAGCCTCGAATGACATCATCATCCTTGGCAGGCACCAGCCGCAGCCATCTCATCGCGCTCCACCATCGACAGGCCAGGACGGGAACTGACGTCAACCCACCTCGATCCCACACACGTTTCGCATTAAACCCTACTACCCTGGCAACATCTCTTTTCATTGTCAATACTCGATCCACTGTGCCGATTATCCCATAGCCAGAAACCTGCAACCAGCCATTCGGGACACCTTCCTCCCGCCCCTCCCGCAACCCACCCATGTTTCCAGCACATGCTCTCGTCACTCATGGACTAGTACTATTATATCTACTTACCTACCAGACCCTGTGGACCGCAACCTCTCGACAACTTGTCGACTTCTTATAGACATACACATAAACTTCATGTCCCTACTACAACCACATGGCGGTATCACATGACCTCCAGCCAGCCAAGACGTGATAAGCCCACCGGTACTTTCATCGACTGCTTTACATAAGCAAGGCCACCCCACAATCGCTCTCCATATTGCCCCGAGCCCGTCGTATTAGCTGTAAAGGGAGAGGCGAGGCTCGCCAAATCACTTCCCATGCTTCCCGCAGCGCACCACATCACATGTTATAACCCGCCCATGTGTCCTTTTGTATCGTGAGCCTCCTGCACCCAAACCGCTCGCCATGGCACCCCCAACAAGTCAGCAACGCCGCAACGGCGATGGGAAAGTCTTATTTCTCTATGCCATCCTTGCTCTGATAGGCCTCTACACTATGCGCATCGTGACCTCGATGACCAATAACCCTGTTGGCTTCATGGACATGTTCGCGTCTCGCAAGCTGCCTGATGGCACCCCTCTCAAGACAGACTATACCGGCATTAACCCCATCGACACAGGCTTGGCTTTCTTAGTATCCGGATTTCTCTTCGGTCCCCTGCGATTGAACGAGGCCTACTACTGGCAGCAAATCCACTTTTTGCCTCAGCTCGCGCCCCTCATCGCAATCATGAATGTCGAGGCCTGTCGAGACGGGAATAGGGGTAAATGGCTGACATAGTAAGTTGCGCACGGGACAGGCGGTATTCAACCGCATATCGCAGGATACTACTATGCTGTTACTGACAATTCACAGCACTGCTATCTGGGCATTGTTCTATCAAAATATCGGGGGCTCTTTCGTCATCACCATTTGGTGGATGTTATTCCATTACCAAACAAGTCCCAAGTCTTACTACCAAACCGGACGCACAGTACCGCTGCCATATGTTCGGGTCATGTTGCCAGCAATCGTATTTCTGTACATCATTCCTACCGTTGCCATTTGGTATCCTGCAGACAAAAGCATCTCCGCACTACAATCCGTCTTGGCGTTCTGGCAATGGACCCCTATATTCGTCAACATCCCGCTCTGGCTCGTCTCCCTTACCAGCTCACTCAACACAACCAACCAAAAGAAAAATGCAGACGTCTTTCATTTGAGGATCATGTACGCAGCTTTGTTCTTCTTCTCGGTGGCAGTGCACTGGTATAGCATCTACGGAATCTCCGTCTCCGAGCATCCTGATGCAAATTACGCCCGCGTCTTCATCCCTAGTACCTACACCTGGAGCAAGGATATTCCTTGGGGCTTGTTGTGGGTCTTTCAATGGGATTGGATCATTATTGGTATCATGTATATCATCCCTTCTTGGGTCGCCGCGTGCGACGTCCAGCGGATGAAGAAGGGTGAAGCTTCGCTAGAAAACGTCTTTGAAAGCTTTCTTATGATCATGACGATTGCCATTGGCGGTGGCCCAGGGGCTGCCCTCTCAGCAGTTTGGTTCTGGAGAGAGGGTAATCTGGCTGCGATTGAGGATGCATCGGCAGTGAAGAAGGGGCAGTAAATGGCTAAATGGTAGAAATTTTCCATGGAAAAGGGAGCGATGAGGCTAGGGGGGGTAGTGAGAGATTCAAGATCTTAAAATCTCATCCAGAGTCATGCCATGTTACTTAGATTATACTAAAACTGCGTTCACTCTGTGACAAACACTATTTATACTCTCTCTAGAATCGGCGCAAAAACATCTCCGACATCCTCCAGTAACGGCGACCCCAGCACCTTCTCCCAATCATCTTTCAACATACCCTCCAACGCACCAACACCAATATCCACCAGCTTCTGCGTACCAGCCGCATCTGTCCATTCAACACGCGTAGGCCAGAACGCCACATGCACCGCCCAATGCACCACCATCCTCTTTAGCCACATCTCCCCCAACACCTCACCATCCTTCCTCTCAGCAACATACGCCTTCAAAAACGCCGCAAGCAAGCCTCTGCCCCCTCGAAACCGATCGAGCAAAAACGCCTCAGCTGCAAACTGCCCAACGTCCGTTGCACTAGTACCCCTGCGCACCATTTCCCAATCCACAATCGTGAGACTGGGAGGTTGAGCCTCGTTTGAACGTACGAGCACGTTTCCAGGCCAGAAGTCGCCGTGACACACGCACTCATCGTCTGTAGCGAGCAGACTACCAAAGTCCTCGTTGATGCGGTACGCGAGGTGAGTGTCGTAACCGTATTTCTCGAGGGCGAGGTGCAAGTTGTGGTAGGAATGGCGGTATACGGCGACGCCGATGGGATTGTTTTTTGAACTGCTGTCTTGGCCTTTGAGTACAAGGGAGGTTTTGGTGGAGGAGTTGTGTAGGGCTGCGAGCCAGGTTGCTAGGTGCTGGCCGATTTGGGGGATGTTGAGGTCGGGGGAGGTGTATGCGTCTTTGAGGTTGCAGGTTCCGCCGTCTTCGATTTCGAGGAGCTTGTTGTCCTTGTTGTAGTTTAGGAGTTGGACGGCGTGTGCAGTTGTATTTGGGGGGTTGGCGAAAAAGGGTTTGCTTTTGGAGGCAAGTTGAGTGAGGATGTTGGCTTCGTAGTCCATTCGTGTAGGGTCAAAAGCAAAGTTCTTGTTGCTGTGGAGGTATGGCGCGGCGTGCTTGAAGATGCTTGTGGATTCATCTTGTTTTGTGCACCGGTATACGTAGTTTGCTGTGCCGCCTGAAAGTAGCTTTACGCTGGTGTGTCCTGACTGGGCTGCAGAAAGATAGTCGCCGAGTCCCTGCTCCGTTGTGAAGTCGTATGGCGATGCCATGTTGTTGTTTATTCGAAAGAAATGTAGTTCCTCTAGGTCTGCTGGAAAAAGTGCTATCTTATTCTGAACGATATTCTTTCCTGTGGGGGAGTGACATGTGATGTCTTTATAGAATAGGGGATAAATAGTGTGAGTTGCGATTACTCTTAAACCCAGCTACAACGCTATATTGATATGCCTATCAACCTTACATACAACCCCCAGAAATGCATTCAGTATGATGAGATATGAGTCATTTGCCAAGGTGCGCCGCATTGCCAGCGTTCGTAGGTATTGAGCAGGAACCAAGGTGGGGCAGTTCATTCTAAAACAGATTAGCTCCATCTGATCTCAGAGCACGTATTCATCGTATGTATCTGCATGACTCTCTCCATGAATATGGACTAGCAATGACAAAAAGGGCAACTCCGAAATCCTGAAAATCCCATCACATTTCAACCCAAACATGCAGTTCAGTTCCTTCCCATGCAGCGAGTAAGATGCGCGCACGTATTGGGTATCCTCTTCTCGGCTGACCGGTTTATTGCATGTTACACAAGCCTCAGCCTTGTCATGAAGTGGTGCACGCCTCACTTAGAGTTCTGGCTTATAGGTAACCTCGCACAGCCTTTTGATCGCATCAACCTTATTCCACTCATTAAGGCGACCCATTTTGCAGTTTCAGTGCCACAATGGCTACCTCCAGCGATGAGCTAGCTGGAAAACTCGGCGCTATGAGTATAGCGGGAGATGAAGATCGGAAGCATGTTGATGGAAATGTCCCCTTGGTAGATAGCTACATCGATGTACCAGAGGGAGATTCCTGGGACTCTGTTCAACATGCCACTGAAGGTGTATATGGTAAGTTGAAGGATTTCATGAGCTGGTCTATATGAGTGAGAGTTTTGCCTTGAAAGACGCCAGAAGATATGAAAGAGGAAGTGTAGGTAGACTCTAGTGGATTTCTGACGATCATAGAACGTATACAGAACGCCAGCGTGGAGTGTTCCAAAATGATCGCATTTTCCGACGAGCAATCCTTCATCCAGCTTTTTCTCCGATTCTTCAAGGGAGATATCGAAAAAATCATCCAGAAGAGTTTTCACGACGCTAGAGCCAGGGCATTATCATGGAAGGTTGCAGAGAAATGCTACAAAGAAGCTATGAGCCCTTCGGGTATTCTCAACGTTGGTCGCTACTTCAACGATTCCAAGAACTCCCAATCAAGACGGCGGGTTGACTCCATTTCTGGGAACCAACATCATGTTTTTGATAACGAAGGAGAACGACAATGGATAGAATTTTGGGTCACAGTTCTGAACCTCTCAACTGGAGGACCTACACTGTTTTATCCCCGAACGAGTGAAGATATCGATCTCAGCAACCCAGACACCATTCCGCCGTACCTGTTTCGAGTTTTTGACAAGAAAAGCTCCGGAAAGAACAACAAAAAAGTTATGGCATCTTCGGGATATACTTCTCAAGTGCAATCAAGTGGTGTCAATGACTTGCTGAGCATGGAGGACTCGGAAGCAACAAAGTTACTTTATTACCATATTGGTAAAAAGAGAACTCGCACAAATGATCACCAAGACTGCTTGCTGTCTTGGACTAGCTCACTGCTTTATGCTGTCCAATATGCAACATATAGACAGCATCGCCTGGACCTCTCTTATACTGACATCGAGATATGTATGGTAAAAACTAGTCAGTTTCTGCAAGGACAATTTGTCCGGGACATTGAGCTGCTCAATAAATACTACCCTAATGCAGAGTATTTAGGCGGAAAAATACGAGGACTCTTCGACCTCCGTCTGAATCGGCAAGAATACTACAATGGCGAGTACTTCTCACAGGGAGTAGTGAACCATTCAGGTCGATCCTGCGTGGTTTCTCTGGAGCAACTGGAAGTTGCCGGGATCTTCAAATTGTATCCAGAACTGAAGGACCCTAGAGACTCTGGTGGTCGTATTCTAAATGCAAACCGAGTTTGCGATCTACGGGAAAAATGGTCCTTGCAGCGAACAACAACCAACGAGGAAATCTCATGTGCGTTTCGAATCGCACAGTGCTTCGATGGCTTTGACAAAAGGAAAATAGCTTGCATTCTGTTAGCTTTCAAGTGCCGCGGACTGTCAGGTGAGTAGCAACACCAGCTCTTATGAATTGTTCTCTAAGAAAGAACGCAATCTAACAAGCAAAGACAAAATCAAGCTTGACACCAATCGTGCTCCATCGTGGGCCGAAAAGCCAGTTGAAGTCAGTCGGTATTGGCAGGCATTGGAGATACTGAGTCATTTGGAAGAAGATCCAGGGCGTATGACGTATCTGCCAAGAGATATCTACAAGGTTACAAGGCTTATTTGACCGCAGACTTTTCCTGTATAGGTGGAGAGATTGATTTTTCATGGTAAATCAGTTCTTGAGACCCTTGTTCCCACACTGTATCATTTCTAGTATCTTATGGGGATCGTGGTTGGACTTTTAGGCCCACGTGAGGAGGATATGAACAAACAGTTCATTAGGAGACTCTTGACACCAGCGTGTAATCTGTAATCGAAAATTAAGCATAGTAGAACAGAAAATTATTATTGCGACGTCTGCTCAAAAGAAGTCCATTATGAGAATGACCTGATCTCAATTGAAAAACTTCTATATGCTGCTCCATTCTCTGTCAACACTCTCATCTCAATGCTTCCTCATCCACAACACTGCCCAACCAAACAACCTATAGACAACAACAATAACGAGCATGTAACCCACATACTTCCCCATGTCTCCCGTCTCAAACCCATATACACTCAACACCGCCTTGCCCTCAACCAAACACTGATCCTGCAGCGCACTAGGAAACATGCACTGACATCCTCCATCCACTAACCGCTCGCACTCATAGTTCCTTTTCCCAAACTCATTGACCATCATCCCCCGAAACACATACGCCTGGTAGTCAATATAATGAAAAACATACCGCCAAAACACATTCAGTGTCTCCGGCTGTACCATAAACCCATTAACACACATCCACAACCCATTCGCAAACGCCGTCGCCGCCAGCGCAACCACAAAGATCGGTATAAGCGACGACAGCAACACAACCAGCGACTCGGCCGCCAGCAAATCGAGAAACAGCCATAGCACCCACACCCAGAACCCCTCAGCCGTCGGCCGAAAGTTACCCAGCCAATAGCTTATCACACTAAACAGAATCGTAATAAGAAACAGATACGGCACTCCCACGACGAAATTCGCAATCATAAACGACGTGGGGCCATACAACCCATTCGCGCGCTCCTTGGCGTAAATGGCGAGATCCTCAAGGTATGCGGGGATGTATGCGACAGCCATAAAGGACATGAAAGCGCCGCCGAAGAAGATGGCGTTGGTGAAGGACTGGATGTTGGATTGTGTGGGGGAGAGACGCAGCCAGACTGTTCCCATCATTATGGCGAGGCCCATGTACATGGCGATGCGTAGGCCGTAGGCGACGATGTCGCGGTGGGATTTTATGAAGGAGCGGTGGATGAGGGTGAGGGGGATGAGGGTTGGATTGGCGGTTTGGTGTGTGGCGAGCATCGTAGAAAGGGGTGGGGAAGAGGGCTGAGTATGGATTTTGGAGGCCAAGGTGGTTGCGGCGGGGGAGGTGGCCCAGGATGTGTGGAGATGGGTTAGGCGTTGGGATGCGGCGGTCGTGTCGGTGGAGAAGTCGGTGTTTACGAGGTCGATGACGAATTCGGCAGGGTTGGTATATAGGGGCATCTGGTAAGGTGGAAATGTTAGCTTTCTGTTTACTTTCCAATGGATACTACTGGGGTGACGCTGTTGTACTTACTTGATACTCCAGTCCGGCAAAGTACTCTCCAACCTCCTTTACTGCGCCATTGTACACCACTTTCCCCCTGCTCAACAACATGAGTTTATCAAAGAGCTCGAATGTTGTCGTTGAGGGTTGATGGATAGAAGCAATGACAAGCACCCTGTGCTTCTTCGCAATGTTCCTTACGAAATTCATAACTTCGTAACTAGCTGCGGAGTCGAGTCCACTGGTAGGTTCGTCGAGAAACAAAATCCTTGGACTTGTGATGAGCTGGCTGGCCACGCTTACACGACGCTTTTGGCCGCCAGATACGCCTTTTCGGATCGGCGTTCCGATCAAGGTATCGGCTTGGTTCTGGAGACCAAAGGAAGATAGGAGGCTGGATATGCGGGCCTTACGTGCTGCTTTGCTTATTGAACTATCAGATTGAGCGTTAGTGAAAAAACATTAAGAGCATATGGTACTATTGACAACATACCTGGGCAGTGCAAGTTCAGCTGCAAAGTATAGCGTCTCCCTGACGGTGAGAGACCCGACAAGTGCATCTTCCTGTTCCACATAGCTACTCAATTTCCTAAAAGTAGCCAACGTCGTCGGCTCCCCATTGATCTTCAGATCTTGACGGATAGTTGCCTTTGGCATGGCCGCCCGATGAGCAAGTACATTGAGTAGTGTTGTCTTTCCTGAGCCACTAGGACCCATGAGGGCGAGCATCTCTCCCGCCTCCAGGACACCGCTAACATTGGCTAGGATATCCAGTGGTTGTTTCGAAGCGCGGTCCTTGACAGTGACAGTGACATCCTGCCAGCTAAAACTCTGTACGACATCGTTGGTAAGGTGGGCAAAGTCCGCGGTATCAGCACCCTTTTCAACATCCGGGGCTTCGCCTGTAGACGACATGACGAAAAAGGAGTAGTATTTCCTCTAGGAATATTTCAGTAACAATAAAACAAACAAAAAATGATAATATGTATGGTGAGACCAACGCAAGGAAATCTGACTAGAAAGATATTAATCCAACAAACAACCCCATCAATCCACGATATATATCCTCACTCAGCCTCACACCCTCACATTTCAGGCCCCCAAACCCCCATCCATCTCCACTCCCGCCCACGTATTTAATATCGGCGAGTAAACCCTCCACCCAAACCACCTTGCCTAAGACACACACACGCCTGAAATGACACCCTCCCTAGCGCCCCACCCCCCCAATGGACCCTTTCCTACGTCGAACCGTGTTTCCACATGGCAGATGAATTCAGGTGCTTTCCTATTTGGGAAAAAAGCGGAGGGGGCACACGTATCTACCGTTACACTGTGTTATGCCACGCTATGCCACGCGGGGCTAAGCGCCGTGGAAATGCGAGGAAGGATGGCAGCTGAAAAACAAGCGCGATGCTGCTCGTAAGCAATGGGCCAGGCGCACATGTGCGGCGTGTGTATGTGTGGGTGAGATTTGTGGATGATGGGGGGGGAGGGGGTGTAAGACGGAGGGTTTTACTTCGTGATAAGGTGGATAAGGCTGAAGTCGGCGTTTAAACTCCCAGTCACTTCGATACGGGGCGTCGTTCGCACAACGAAGTTCGATGGAGTCAACGTTACGACTACTACGTACTACAATAAGGCTGACCGAGAACCCGACGATTGTCCAAAGTCCCTGCATCGAAGAACGAAGAAACATGGGTAAAGTCCGACCGAGATGCGTCCATCGGCGCTAACCAGGCTGTATGAATAGTACGTAGAGGGAATCTCAGCCTCAGCCCTTCTCGGCGTTTTTGCGCTGGCAGCTCAAGTCCCCGGACCCCAGGCTGAAAACAAAAACGTCGGCAAGGTAAATATTCCTTCAGCAAGCAAACCAGGCCGTGCGCCGAACGAACCTCGCCGACGTTTTCATTTTGTGGCACAGCCGAAGGAGCGGCAGCATGGTTGCGGCACTGGCTAACTTGCCGGAAAAAGAATAGTTAAACGGTGTAAGACGTGCAGGCATTTAAAACGGCGACAGATCTTGGGAAAGACGCCGAGGGGAGGGGCGCAAACGAATAGGGCTGAGGAAGTACTAACGTGACGGATAAGCGAGTCGGTCAGGCAAGCGAGTCGGTCACCCCACCAACTTTGATCACCTACCACACCTTTACGTACAATGCCTCTAAGCTACGCTTCTTAGTTAATTTCTCACGAAGCAGATATTCAGCTTACCCTCTCTTCTTTAAATAGAAACTAAATCTAGAGTACCCGACGCGCTACTATAGCCTTTAATATTCTAAAAT